CAGACCCCACCCCACTAGGAACCTGCACAGACCCCATCCCACTAGGAACCCTGCAATATTCAGCACTGTCGAGGTAAACATCTTGTCGCTCTCACAGACAACAGTCAGGCCACTAAACTTAGAAAGCTAGAATTTAAAATATAGGATAATAAGTTTCAATTAGTGACTATTTTGTAAGTATCTGAACATGTCTTGCAGATAAGTTAGAGCCAATCTTAGCAAGGATCTATCGGATAGTAGTAAGATTTTTAACGCAATCATTTTCTTCATGTCCAGACGGCGAAGATTGATCAGGTCATCCTCAAGATGGTCGTGTTAATTTAGTAGAACAACACATTTACGGTCCTGGAGTTGAAAAGCATTACTTGAATAGAAATTTCATCCAGCAGGATGAAATTAACACCATTGAACTGGAGAGTAAACCGCTGTCAGATGGCTGATAAAGAAACACGTGAACTTTAACCACCTGCACTGTTATTGTTTGGAATAAATCTTAAATTTCCCTTGAAGAGGTAGTCAGACTAAATAGATGGTGAAAGCATTTACGGATTTATTAGTTCATGAGCCTGTGTTTGTTCCTGGACCTCAACACCAACTGGTGAGTAAAGAAGTGAAGCAGGCACGTGCAGCTCCACTGTACCTTTTGTTAAACTAACTTTCTCGGAACCGAATCCTGCCCTTCCCTAGAATCCGAACAATAGCGTTTTCATTAGTGAACATGCGCTCTAAGAATTTGCACGTGTTGAAGCATTATTCAAGAAACAAAGAGCTTTTATCAATAAACGCACCGCGGTGGTTTGAAATAGGCTGATAAGTTGACATGGTGTGGGGAGGCCCTGTGAAACAAGCTGCGCCGGTAAGACTGCTGTAGTCAGAGAGCCCTGTGGAGGCGGGATTGAGGAGATCAGTTACGAATATTATATAAGCAGCGGTCTGAGGTCCAGATATCAGAAGGTAGCCTTAGTTTTATTGGACTCGTTATGACGTGTCAACTGTCTACCGGCAAGTTCCCATGCAAAAACAATCAGCATCGTGATTGAAGGGCAGGGTCCTTTTATAGTTGCTTGGTTTGTTACCTTACAGTTGTTATAACCCCAATTTAAAGTATTATAGATCTTTCTGTAACGTTCGGAATTTTGTTCAGTTTTAATCAGGGTTTAACTGTATTCGGTCAAGAAAATTAGCTAATAGCTACCGTTTGACTACCAATGATTGGGTCCTCTTCTTGCTAATTTAAACAGACAAGTAATAATTAAACAATTAGGGTTTAAGTTAAAATAAAAATCATACTTATAAATTATCAGTATTCACTATTCAGTAACCTTAAACCAGGATAATGTTTTTGCAACTCCTAACAGCCCTGCTAGCCCTCCTTTGCACCATACCCACTTCCTGCAAGTTATTCTAACGTTTATTTTACCTCACTTCCGACGTTAATTATTAAAAATCTAAAGCATTAATCAAAATTTTAAGGATAGTACAGACAAATCCGTCTGAAAAAATCGATCTGCTGACACACGAAGCTTTCAGAGGATTTTTGACGTTTTTGAGTCCTAATAGGTGCCCTCTATGGCTGACCAACTTTTCCAAACTTTTCCACGTGTCTTAAGGCCACTTTTTGCCACTTTACCACTTTTTACCACCTTTCTTGTTTGTCAAATATCTTTAGTTGTGAACATCTTAAAAGGTTGTGGATCAATTGAGTGTGTTCATATTACCATGAAGAAAAACTTTTGTTGTAACAATTTTTACGTCAGAGAATCAGTTAATAGGATAATTATCAATTAGCTAATTAGCAAAATTCTAAAAAATTTTTATTGGCTCAAAATGATCGGAATAGCTTAAAACACGGAGAAAAGTAGTTTTTAGAAAAACTTTGAAAATTTTTCACTTACATTTTTTTTCGAGACTTTCCGCCAAAAGTGATCAAATTGCATGAAACGCGGAGAAAAATGCTTTCCAAAAAAAAACTTAGTGAATTTTTCGTTTCAAGAATACTTAAATCACCAATATTTGTAGTTGGAGTTCATTAAATCGCGGCAGATTTTAGTAATCAGGAATTACTAAGTGGAAATGTCTGAAACTGAAAAACGTTTACCATACGATATAAGAGTTTCATAACTAATTACAATACAGCCTTATCGATTTTCACAGAAACTGCACCAATGGCACAGTCAAGATCGAAAGACGAAACGATAGCCTGCTCATGCTGTACTATCATTTTATTGATTTCAATGATGACTCAGTGTGGTTAAGATAATCACATTTGTAATAAAAAAAACCTCTCTGTACCGTCAATTGTGCTAATCTAAACCGGCCTACCTGGATAACCAGACCTCTTCTTTTTCTCAACAATCAAACCAAGTTGTTCATATCGCATTTGGTGGGCGATGTAAGTACATATCGAGCTGTATTCAATCACAATACGACACAATACGTGTATATTATATGGCTCTTAATGAGGTTTATGAAACGCTTAATACCGTGAGAAACCCGGTATAGAGACGTTTTACAGTTAATCACGAAAAAGTATACTGGCCTCATGGCTCATTTACAGTTCGAAGAAGGCAAGAACAGACCAGGGAAACTAAGGAACAGCCAGGTGCAGGAAGCAAGTGTAAATACTCCTTCCGACATCTACTGTGACTTGTTTTGTATTGTACTGCATACCGCTTCATTTGCTATGCGGGATAAAATCACCCCCATATGTCAGGGTCGGCTAAAAGTAAAATCAACAAGGGTAACATACGGGCAAGGATAAGATTTAGATACGAGTGTCGGGCAAGGGGTGGTACTGGTAAAGAACCGGTAATAATTCATTCAGTGAAATGTTCCACGAGAGTCAGGATATTTTGGAAATTGCTAATAGAGACAGATCCTGATCAGGAAGGATTGTTAATGTTATTGAGGATGTTGATTTGAAATCCGGACGTTGTGAAGTAAAAATACAGGTTCTTTCCGCACGATATTCGGGGCCCATGATGATCAGCTCGGGATCAATGTGGGACAGATCGAAGAGCATTGAAAAGAGCGAGTTGACATTTTAAGCTTTCTGGTATTTTCTTGCCTTCTTTGAGCTGTCAAAGAGTCATAAGGCCAAGTAGACGTTTTCGTGATAAACTGTAAAACCTCTCCATACCGGGCCTCTCACAGGAGAAACGAGAAGTGTACGGTATAGAATGTTTCATATACCTCATTAACTTTAAGGGCCATAATATAATATACACGTATTGCATAGTGTCGTATTGTGATTGAATACAACTCGATATGTACTTACATCGCCCACCAAATGCGATATGAACAACTTGGTTTGATTGTTGAGAAAAAGAAGAGGTCTGGTTATCCAGGTAGGCCGGTTTAGATTAGCACAATTGACGGTACAGAGAGGTTTTTTTTATTACAAATGTGATTATCTTAACCACACTGAGTCATCATTGAAATCAATAAAATGATAGTACAGCATGAGCAGGCTATCGTTTCGTCTTTCGATCTTGACTGTGCCATTGGTGCAGTTTCTGTGAAAATCGATAAGGCTGTATTGTAATTAGTTATGAAACTCTTATATCGTATGGTTAACGTTTTTCAGTTTCAGACATTTCCACTTAGTAATTCCTGATTACTAAAATCTGCCTCGATTTACTGAACTCCAACTACAAATATTGGTGAACTTAAGTATTCTTGAAACGAAAAATTCACTAAGTTTTTTTTGAAAAGCATTTTTCTCCGCGTTTCATGCAATTTGATCACTTTTGGCGGAAAAAAATATTTTGAATTTTCGAAATTTTTCGAAGTCTCGAAAAAAAATGTAAGTGAAAAATTTTCAAAGTTTTTCTAAAAACTACTTTTCTCCGTGTTTTAAGCTATTCCGATCATTTTGAGCCAATAAAAAATTTTTAGAATTTTGCTAATTAGCTAATTGATAATTATCCAATTAACTGATTCTCTGACGTAAAAATTGTTAGAACAAAAGTTTTTCTTCATGGTAATATGAACACACTCAATTGATCCACAACCTTTTAAGATGTTCACAACTAAAGATATTTGACAAACAAGAAAGGTGGTAAAAAGTGGTAAAGTGGCAAAAAGTGGCCTTAAGACACGTGGAAAAGTTTGGAAAAGTTGGTCAGCCATAGAGGGCACCTATTAGGACTCAAAAACGTCAAAAATCCTCTGAAAGCTTCGTGTGTCAGCAGATCGATTTTTTCAGACGGATTTGTCTGTACTAGGATGCTATATTCTATTCCTATCCTTGTTTTTAAAACCCTGCTGAAATTGGCGAGGTTTCAATTCCATTTGTGAGCTGAAATTGGCCACGCCAGAAGGTTGGTTTTTGGTCGGTTTTCAGTGTTTTTTTCCCGTTGCCAGGTGTATAGATATTCCTATATCGTCTCATAATACGTGTGTTCATTGTTAGGCCTTCAACGTCAGTGTCAAATAATCGCCAATGTTCGTATCAATTAAGCAGGAGTACCCACTGCTTATGCAGTTCTTTCAAAAGCTCTACGTTAATTTCATTTCTCAGTTCTCCAATATAATATATTAATATATGATATGGACTGAATACTGTTGTTTATTTCATCCTCAGAATCATTATTTTTAAGGTTTAATTTTGTTGACCAATTCATGACGCGCTGCTAGCTTGTATACATCAACATTTCTTAATCTCAGTTTAACTGAATAACTTTATTGCCATTTTATGACATCATAATTTGAGTATAATGGTAGTTTTATGGCAGACTTTATTGATGGAGCCAAAGACACAATTTGTTTAAATAGGATGTGCGCAATATTCACGGTTATAAGGTGACGAAAGGAAATCACGTTGCTTTAAAGAATCGTTACAAGAAGCATGACCATTGGAAAGCAGTCAAGAAAGGCCGCTATAAACATTGAACAGATGCCATGCAGTTTAACAACTATCTCAAATCACTGATCAATAAGTAACTTAGACATCATTACCAGACAGAATGATATATTTTTTAAATAATTAACAATACTAAAGTTTTAAGGAAACAAGTCATAAATCCTTTTGAATCCTGACCACTAGTACGAACAACCTGCATCTAAAACATGATTGCGTACAGAACCTCACTCATCATACTCCTCTTTCTGACGGCTGTGATCTCGGACAAACCCCACGTTGCTCTAAAGTTTGGTGATGATAAATCAAGTTATATAATGATTGCCCCGGACATGTCCCCACTAGAGGAACAGGTGTCAATCTGTGCCTGGATAAAGAAACTGAGTCCCACTTCTAATTATGGAGTGTGGCTTCATTACCACACTAGGGATAGTGAAACTGAGATACTCTTCTCTGAAAACTTTAACTACGCTTATTTCATGTCTGGCAACATTCCAAAGAGTCAGACTCACGTACATTCAGAGTGGTACCATATTTGCATTACATGGTCTTACAGCAGCGGGAAGAAGACCCTCTTCTACAATGGCGTGCAGATTGGGACTGCCTCGTCGCGCTCTGGACGGAAGTTATCTCTCGCAACCGGCTATCTCGTTATCGGACAATATCATATCACCTACAAGATGGAGGCTTGGTTTAGGAATGGTAACTCATTCGGAGGTGAAATCACAAAGTTGAACATCCTGAAAAGAGAACTGACCGAACAAGAGGTAGCCAAAATGTACAAGTCAGGGATCTGTTCCAGCTTTGAAGAAACACTTGAAACTGACACCCATCTTTCGTGGGAGATGCTACTTTCCGATGATACCGAAAAACATGGAAACATTGTGAAGTTAAACTTGACCTGTCCGGATCACACACACGAGCCAACCACTGGGATTCCTACCACGGCTGTACCAACCACTGCTGTACCAACCACTGCTGTACCAACCACTGCTGTACCAACCACGGCTGCGCCAACAGAAGAATCTGAGGGGGGCTGCAACAACCGCTGGGCAATCCTCCGACTGTCTGAGTTCTATAATAAGGTGAAGATAATATTATGAGTTGTAGTAAATTAGTAAATAATTAATCGGGGTTTATTTATTTCATCTTGTTATACCAACAAAATGAATATATGGGGTATGGTTTGTGCTGAAGATTGTAGGAAATTACAGATTATCTTTAATGATTTTTTTCAGGAAGTGACAGCCACCATGATGCAAGATTTGAGGGAAAGATGGGAACTTTTAGCTGAGTTTGAAGGGCATGTCATAGATGATAGCTTAATATCCCACCTGAAGGAACATCACTGTACCAACGAACAACAATAACTCTCGCGGTACCTAGTCTGTTGTCATTTTTAGGTTTTGGGCGTTAAAATAAAACGATATAGTTTTTAGTGGCATTGTAAACCTTAATACTAGAAAAATAAATAACGCAGAAGGCTATCTTTTCATTTACCACCTGATAAAACCTAAATATTCACCACTTCTTAAAAGGATATATTTGTCACCTTAACATATTATTCTCTCCCTGCAGATTTACGAAACCAGGAAAAGACACAATAATACGGAGCTCAAGATGAGGATTTATTAAGCTAGTGACATTTCTGACTTCACTGGTGACATTATGTGAACATTCTATGAACGATATACATTTTTATAATGAACTCAACGAAACAGCGTAAAGAATCTATTAGATTAATTTCTGGTTTTAATTACTTTAAGTTTAACTTAATCATTACGGTTTGATGAACTCTTATTGATGCGGTCAACTATAATACACAGCTTCGTATAGCTGTATAGTGTTATAAGAGTTAACAATTTTAAAAATAAGATACAACTTATTTAGCTAGTAAAACTTCACTGGTGACATAATGCGAACTTTCTCTAAGTCTAAATAATATTTTAGTATTAACGGTTTCTGATTTTATAATGAACTAATTTATAATTTACAATTAATTTGGGGATATATTTTTGATTCACGTGAGTTACGACGTTAAATTAAATAATTTTTGTTTTAGAATATGAATGAATCGATTAATAACAGTTGGAAATATTTCTCCTAAATTTCGTTTCTTCATTTTGATACTTTAAACCCTAATCAGGAGTAAAAGACCACTTTCCTAAATCAGTCCAATAACGTTTTAAGTACAATAAACGGCAGTAATGTGTAATAATAGTTCATAAATTACGGACCTGATTTTATACAATCAAAAAATAGCCACATGTATATTGAGTCGCACCCACCAAACCTTACTGGCTGGCCGTGTTACTAGAATTGGATTAATTTACGTGAATGAGAGGTAAATAGGGTGAAAAATTTTGCGAAATAGGGTGTTTTAGACGACATTTGGCATTAAAGAAATTTGTAGGACAGCAATAAACTGGGATTGAAAAGAATCAAGTACTTACGTAAATTTGGTAACTTCACAACAGTAATCTGTATTCTCCAATCAGAATTTACGACTTACTCAGGCCTCATCGTCTTAAGATTTTGACATTTCCTACGGTCTAGGGGACACTATTGACTATATATAGAAGTTTTCTAGAATGTTTGCTTGGATCTTATGAGTCTGACAGATATTTACTAATTTACAGTTCAAATCTTGACTGACTGCAGTCATTAACACAGCCCAGGTACCAGGCGACCATCGGGACTAGGGTGCTTATCTTTTTTTCTGGGATTCTATTTTTTCTGGGGGGGGGGGGGGGGGGGGGGGGGTGCAGAAACCCTAGCTCCCCCCTGGCTAAGTGTCTATAGTGAATGAATGGGAAAAGCAAGCGACCTATTTCATTCTCGGTATCATTTTTCTTTTGCGGACGGTCATTCAAATTAATATCATCTCCTTTTGTTTGGAAAAGAGAGACACTGGCAGCGGTCCACTCTACCCATGATTATGGGTTTTGGTCAAATATAATATGAAATGAAATGAAATATTAATATATATGATAAAACTTTCAACTAAGTGGCCAAACAGCACCTGTGTGGGTGAGAATAGTATCATTTATATTATTATGCTGTTCCACCATCAAGAAAGACACTCGTAGGTCTTATTGACCCAGTTGATCGATTTAAGAAGTTAAATCAACGTACAGGAGTAATGACCAAAATATAACATGTTTTTATACTAATATTTGTAAAAGTTTGACAACATTATATTTAATTAATCAATTTTGTGATCCTAGTGGGTCGCTAATGACCCATTTAACCGATTTTTCGCAGTTTATGATGATAATCACTTGCTGAGAGGCGATTTTGCACTTATGATGTCATGTTTTAGGCTGAATTCAAGAAGTTACATGGACATATGTAGTAATAAGTAAGTGAGCCGAGTGGGTCGTTAATGACCCGAATTCTCTATTTAAAAAAAGTTAGAGTCACACAGTATTGACCATATGTTTTTAACTTATGCTACAGTTTTTATTTTATCCTAACGTCTTTGTTTCAGAAGTTAAAGCCGAAAAACCGTGATGGGTCGTTTGCGACCCGGACGAGTGGGTCGTATGCGACCATAGCTGTATCTTTTAAAGTAAACGAGATACAGATTAGCTTTTTTGGATATCTCATTTTTGCTGTAAAGTGACCTAGTGTGTTAAACGGCATCAAAATCGGCAAACTTTAAAACTCGTCGTCCCTAATGGGTTAAGTTAAGGTTGCTGTTGGACGATAGATTTTGAGGATGTTTCAAGTTGTTATGGTGAAAAAATAAAGGCCGAGCATTGGTGAGACATCGTATTAACGAAAAGGATCAATAAATCAGCTATAAGAAGATAAGACAATGTATAAGGGGATCAAGTGTGTAATTGTACACGTGTGTAATTGTACACGTGTGTAATTGTACACGTGTGTAATTGTACACGTGTGTAATTGTACACGTGTGTAATTGTACACGTGTGTAATTGTACACGTGTGTAATTGTACACGTGTGTAATTGTACACGTGTGTAATTGTACACGTGTGTAATTGTACACGTGTGTAATTGTACACGTGTGTAATTGTACACGTGTGTAATTGTACACGTGTGTAATTGTACACGTGTGTAATTGTACACGTGTGTAATTGTACACGTGTGTAATTGTACACGTGTGTAATTGTACACGTGTGTAATTGTACACGTGTGTAATTGTACACGTGTGTAATTGTACACGTGTGTAATTGTACACGTGTGTAATTGTACACGTGTGTAATTGTACAAGTGTGTAATTGTACGCGTGTGTAATTGTACACGTTTGTAATTGACAATTGTACACGTCATGTGTACCATACTGTTCTCTGAATAATTTAATTTCTAATGCGTGTGTTGTATTAAAAGTATCGCCGGACCCATCGTCTCATCGTATACTAAGCGGGGGGGGGGGGGGATGCACTTAGGGGAGGGGGTGGTGCACTTAGTGGTTGCAGGTTGTGTAATGTGGTTATTTTGTTTAATTTTTGAATTGCGCAATATTGTTCAGTTATACCATTTACAGCAAAATCTATTTCAGAGAACTACGAGATCGAGAAAAGAGAACAATAAAAAACCATAATAATTTATTCCTCTGCTATCCTATACCTGGGGATTGTAAGCTGGATGTTTACAAACACACGAACACACAAACAAACACCCGAATGAAGAATTGGCGGAATGACAGCTGTGACCATGTTCCTAAGATGCGACAATGTCGCCTAAAATGCGACAATGTCGCCTAAAATGCGACAATGTCCTGTAGGATGCCTATTTAACTTAATTAAAACTGCATTGTTTATTTGATACGTGGTTATTAGGTACTGCTTTTCAGCTAATTTCTAAAACTGTGTTTTACAGTCAGAGGATATAAATTATAAAGAATCAAGCTAGAGGGTCATTTTAATTCTCTTGTCAACTAAAACTATTTGTGGGTAATCGTTGTTTCTCAGAAGAGCAAGGTATGAATTTTTATAAGAAAATTTAACTTTAGAAACAAAATATAAGATAAACATTCTATGCTAACGGTTTATTACATAACTGACAATGATTCAAAATTATAAAAATAAAGAAAGCGTGTCGTTTGATTCAGTTTCTTATTTCAATCACGGCATTCGAAATGATGTTGCAATAAGCCTCATTAAAATATAAAGGAGTTCCTTCTTGAAAAGATAACTCCAAGGTTTTTAAGATTCTTTGCTTAGTCAGAGTCGCATGTTTTCCGTGATTTCGATCGAGTTGAGATTCTGAAAGACATAGGAATTGGCTACTTTGTCAATTTTAAATAAGTAAATATATTGATTACATAATTTCTAACCTTCAAGGCTAAAAGAAAAATGGTCAATGGAATTGGTCAATAACATACTTTATAAACGAAGGACGGCCATGAGAAGAGGAACTGCGGCGATTGACATGCTAAGTGCACTACTGTCATCATCACCTTCACCTTCACCTCCAGCATCTTCACCTCCAGCATCTTCACCTCCAGCATCTTCACCTCCAGCATCTTCACCTCCAGCATCTTCACCCCCAGCATCTTCACCTCCAGCATCTTCACCTCCAGCATCTTCACCTCCAGCATCTTCACCTCCAGCATCTTCACCTTCTGAGCCTGAAATCAATTAGGTTCATGGTAATAATTTGTATTGCAGTTATCCAAATTGATTTATCCTGGTCTTCAGTAGAAGCGTCTAATACCTCCTCTGTACAAAACATTCGCAATGAATATATTAATTAGAAAATGCCAGTAGAAGTATATTATTATCAACATATTGAATTATAGTTTAGTTAACTTACGGATCCCAACAACCATCAGGCCCATGAGGATAGCGAGGAGGAAGAATTTCATTTTGATTATCTTGATAATTTTAAGTGTTAAATTAACAGTTATTTATAGAAAACGAAACCTAACTGCTTGACAGAACAAAAATGTATAAAACACAAGGAAAGTCAAGGCTGATTATCAAACTAAATGAATCTCATAACACTATAAGACTTGTCAGCTGTCATGATCGTGAAGAACGGACCAGTAAACGGTAAACTGAGTAACACTGATAACTGACCACTGGAGCAGATGTTTATAGGCGCTGCGTTCTCACGCGTCTTCTAGAATATCGGTAGCTGCAGGCGTGTCACGTGATACGACACGTGTCACGTGATACTACAATTGTCACGTGATACGACACGTGTCACTGTCAGAACGTGCTACATCAGAACATGGAATAATGCGTCATTGATGTGACCTTAGTGCAGATCGGTTTCTCTTTGTCCGAGTAGAACTAACAAGATATCCTGATCATTAGCTATGAAAACAAAATGAAGTCAAGCTTTCCTCTAACAGCCAGTGTAGTGAGAAAGAGAGAGAGAGAGAGAGAGAGAGAGAGAGAGAGAGAGAGAGAGAGAGAGAGAGAGAGAGAGAGAGAGAGAGAGAGAGAGAGAGAGAGAGAGAGAGAGAGAGAGAGAGAGAGAGAGAGAGAGAGAGAGAGAGAGAGAGAGAGAGAGAGAGAGAGAGAGAGAGAGAGAGAGAGAGAGAGAGAGAGAGAGAGAGAGAGAGAGAGAGAGAGAGAGAGAGAGAGAGAGAGAGAGAGAGAGAGAGAGAGAGAGAGAGAGAGAGAGAGAGAGAGAGAGAGAGAGAGAGAGAGAGAGAGAGAGAGAGAGAGAGAGAGAGAGAGAGAGAGAGAGAGAGAGAGAGCATATTTTCTGTGTAGCTGAGTTGAGGCGGGTCACTTGACAGCTGACCTATATTGAAAGCCTCCAGAGTAGGAATTGAGGTAATTTATATCGGTTTCTCTTAAGATTGGTTTCTCTTTAGATCAGTTTCTCTTTAGATCGGTTTCTCTTTACTGGTGTTGATGGAGAAAGAGATTACACTTTACTCCATTATGTTGTATGGAACTAGCAGGATCGCTTGCTAAATAAACATTCCTCTTCAATCGTTAATCTGTTTAGACTCTGGAAGTCTAAAGTCATTAGTCAACAATCAACAATCATCCTACTGCGGTGCTAACTAAACATTCCTCAATATGTTACCCTCTACCTTCCACTACCAGTGTCGGTTTAGGGTACGGACTACAGCATGCCATCTGCAAAGCAACAACTCTCAAAAATAAAACACGGCGG